CCCCCCCGCTCAACTTTTTGGGCAGAATATGCCAGAAACTAAAGCTGGAGTTGACTTGATTGTGGTCGAGTTGAAATCTATTATATTTTGATGTCGGGGCCGTCTGTGCTTCCTGTTCGTTCAGAGAGGAATTTCAGGACTGTCTCAGAAAGCTCAGCCAGTGTACGGAGAGACTGTTCAAACATTTATACAAGCGCTCGCCTTCAAATGTCTGGGAACTTGTGCAGCAGTGTTCCAATTTCTTCATCCAAAACTCTGAGCTCTGCACCTGCTGCTGTCATTCTTTGGTCTTATACTGAAGATGTTTTGCCCAGACACGCATCTCTGCAAACACTACATACTTGTCACGCTCCTGTGACCCGGCACAAGCTCAGAACATGATCTTGATTGTGGTTAAGTCTTGTGTTAAATGCGTCTCGTCACTTTTTGTCCCTCTGAATCAAATTAGCAGACCGCTACACTTATGCAGTCTACGTTATTTAAAGGCTTGGCCAGCGTTTTGCTGACTAAGTCATTGTTTGCTCTGTGCTCACCATGTGGAGCAAAAGGTTTTTCTATCTGGGTCATCAGCACGGTAGTGGCTGTGCTTTGGCTTCTCCTCTCCATGAGAAGACTACAGAGCAGAAGATTTGAACGTGATGCAGTTTTTAGAATCTGAAAAGAGGCTCAATGATCTTATTAAATCAGCACTGATAAAACAATAAATAGAGATTGGACATCATGTAGGAAGGAGGAATTTAAGTATCAAATGTTTTATAACATGTTTGCTCTCTGTAGCCACTTCCAGCCCCTCCAAAGCTTCCCATCCGGCCCCCAGAATTTAAATTGTCTCGGATGATTAAACAATAAACATAAAAAATCAAATCTCAAGGCTAAAATATTCTCATTTGGTGACACCAACGTCTTCACATCTGGCTTGACAGCTGTCAGGCTTGTGTGCAAGCGCAAGTCCGGCCCCCACAGTGTCTTTTAAGAAAAAAGCTGGCCCTGATATACAGTGACGAAAGCCCAAAGAGTGCTGCATAAATGAGTCCTAAAACCAGGGAATCTGTCAACCAATAGTTTTGAAGTCACATATTTTTTAACTTCAAAACCTTGCCTGAAATGAGGTCTTTGGTTAACATTAGTTTATGAGATTCACAGGAAAAGAAACATCTTCCCCCACCCGTGATTATTTTGATGATGCTGCCAAATATTAAATAGCCATCATGTAAACAATTTAATGGCATTGACCAACAGGTTATTATTGATGCCAATCACATGCCTGAGTTTAGAATAGCAGCACATGAATACATGACGAATTGACAGAAAAGTAACTTTGTACTATCAGAATTTGAGATGAGCATGCTCTCCCAACTCTACTAAACGAGACCGCCGCGGTTGATGTCATCGAACTTCATGGCTTCTTTCCTGTTTGCCACCTAAATATGCCCTGCTGCACTTTATTAACAAGTATCTCAAAGTAATATTGCATGTATAGAGGTTGTGTTCTTTGAGGTCATGTCGGTGTAAGTGCAAGTATTTTTATATCGCACTCTGAAATCTGTGCTGCCTTGTATGCCTCAAGCTTACAAGTGATAATGGCTACAAAAGCAGCTATTCAGGTGCTTAACACCAAACCTCCTCACAGACAGCTCAGCGGTAGGTAATGATGGCATTATCATCGATCCCCGCAGAATAAGTCCAGACTGATCGTCATCGATGCTTTCCCGTGTGTTCCCCGTGCAGAAAGCAGTCAGATTAAGCCCAATGTGGCGGAGAGAAGGAAGCACTCTGCAGATTAGAAAGCTACGACTGCAGAGATTGAGATTGAGTTTGTTCTCTCAGTGAGTGTGTGTGTGTGTGTGTGTGTGTGCGCACTGCTCTGTTTGCAACAAGCAGCCACAGGCAAAGCTTTTAAACCAGCATGTTTTTTGGCTCCAGATTAGGCTTAGCTGCAGCGTTTGCCAACATCTGTCTGCCATTACCCCTGTGACACTGGCAGTCATGCAGCAATTAATCAGAGCGTCGTGATAGTTGCCTGTCGGTCACTCTGCACCTCAGGCACATAGCTGAGCAGCAGGGGGAGGGTCAGTGTTCAAAGGGTCACCTGTCTGGGGAGGGTTGACTATACAGAGTCCTTCTTCAGTACACCAGAAACCTTTAGTATTAGTAGTAGAGCTTCTTAATATTCACCTCCAGTTCTCCATTTCTTCATTTGACTGTGGCTGCTCTTTTGAAGCTGATAATGAACTGACTTCAGCATCCAATGCATGCTGATTCTCTCTTACTGGTATTTCAAATATTTAAATAAGCTACTTTTAGAAAGCCGGATTTGGTTGTTGTATTTAATGCAGAAGTATCCCGGTGACTTGTTTATTAAAACCGCCAGATAACAGAACTCCACCCTAAGGCTATAAAGTGTTACAGGTAGTAAGATGTTTTCAAATGACTTTGTCACTTTACACATGGGAAAATATTGATTTTACATGTGTCATTTTTGTCTTCGTCTGAGGAAATGTAAACACAAGATGACACATCCAAGTGTTTACATAAGCTTTTTACAACCACATGATGACTTAACAAGAATCAATGTGACAAAGTACTAGTTGGAAAAAAAAAATCAATGCAATACCTCTACCGTAAAATCATTTCATTATATAGATTCATCATGAGCAATAGTGATTAATTTAGAGAGAAGAAACCCCTCTATACCCTCTGACATCATCAAACTGTGATTTCTGTTATTGTGGCAGATATCGTATGCTGTGCCTTTTTAAAGGACAGAACGCTTTAAAGGTTTCTGACACTTAAAATGCAAGATTTTACTTATTCAGGTTGGTTTTGGACATTTGCGGTGTCCCAGAAGTTGTGATGAGGATTTGTTCATCAGATAATGAAAAAAAAATCAGAAAAATTCTCCATTGTAATTTTGGATGAAAACTTAACAGTCTCTCAACAGTAAAAATTTCCTTTATTTCTTTTATACATGTACAAGTAATCCTTTGGTTTTTCCACATAGGTCTAACCAAACACAGAATGACAGGGCGCTTTTCTGAGATGTGACAAATAAAATTCTTAATTTTTTGTATTTCTGACGACAACAAATATGTTTATGTGAATAATCAGAAAAGTAATATCTGATAAAAAATCATCTTTATGCCACATTCCTTAAGTAAACTTCTTCAACAGACTTTTTAAGGTAAAACATAAAGGTATGGACAGAGGGGAAGAATTTAAAAAGTCATAATATTTTATTTGTCAGGGGGAAAACAGGTTTGACATCCTGCAGTCGGATACTATGAGAGGTATTCATGCAGACATGCAGTTACAAAGAGACAAGTAGCAGCATGATGACGGTCATTTTAGGCGAGATGAAATCACATGCCCGTCATGTGATTGGCTAGTACAGTTCCTCATTCCTCTCTTTGACAGATACACACATACACGCTCACACATGCGACAGCTGTAGTATAGGATGCATTTTTTTCAGTAATCCTGGAGGCAGCAGGGGAACGTGATTACTTCCCCTGTCTCAGACTTTTCTACGTTTGTTTTCTGAGATGGTATCTGTCTAGATTGAGATGTAACGAGGCTGTAATGAAAGAGGTACAACCACAGAGGCTTGGCTTTAGTAGCACAGGGAAAAGTTTCCTTATCAAGAGGAACTGTTGGAAGGTAAACACCACCTCATTCCTCCTCGCCTCCGGCCTCTGTCACTGTGTCACCCTGAGTTGCACTGCTTCATCAAAGCCCCCTCTCACTGTTGTGGGCTCAGTTATGTTAGATAAGGACTGTTTGGCACTTGGCCTATCAGTCTGACATCCGCTGCGCTTGTGCTGTGGTGTGATATCTGGCTTGAACTCAGAGAGCCGACTGTCTGCTGCTCACGGAAAGAAACGATCTGTGCAGATATTTAGATTGTGCTGATGATGTAAGAATCCTTTAGGGACGTTTACGTCTGTTAAAGCGGAGCTAATATTACTTCCGGTTTTGTTGGGGCTTATAGCCTAGAGCTGTCTTTTCACAACTGAGCATGCAACTCCAGAGGGCTTTGACATTCTTTGCATTTTTAAAAACAGTTACAGGATGACAGAGCTAAAGACAAATATGTGTTTGGTTAGGGATGTACCAGACTCGGATTCTGTCATTCAAATTACATTTTGCTGTTTAATACAGAGGCTTTACCAATGAGTCTGACAACTATAACGCCTATTTAAGGTTCTATTTTGAGGATAAAGCATAGGCCACTATGTCATAAAAAATTCATCACCACTGGCCTCAGAAACATCTAGCAAACTTTGAACATAAACTGCCAAAAGTACACCACTTTGCATCAGAAGGTGATGCTGTTTCTCTGTTAAAGCCTGAGCACTTTTCTGTCCTGAGCTGGTGAGGATAATTCCACATCACTCTCTCTCTGTGTGTGATGGACTGTTACCAAGGGTGCTCAGTAATTTGAGTCAGTGATGAGGTCTGGATGCAGTGGGAGGCCTTTAATGAGATTTGCTGGAGGTGTTGGCTTGCAACAGTGTGTAGTTTACTAGTGATGGCACTCCCCTGTTCGGTGTTCTCCCTGTGTGACTTGGAAAGAGATGAAACTGGAAGAAACAGATACCCCCTCTGGTATTCTGCAGCATTTTCTGGACCTTGCGATGATGCACAGAATGCAGTGAAATACAGGATGTGCTGCAGAGCCTTGCTTTATAAAGTAGCTTCTACATTGAAAATGGAAAGCCTTTCTTTATTTACTGTGGACTGAATCTGAGGACCCTTCAGCTTTCCACCTCCTGTGTCTTTGTATTTGCTAATAAGTCTGTTATATGAATGCAGAGGGAAAGAGGGAGCAGCATCTAGGTCATGTGTGATGTGTTTCTCAAGATCGGTTGTTAATCTTGTAAGAAGGCTTTACATCAAAAAGTCAATAAAATGCAGGTCATTCTTTCTTATGGATAAACTGTGGTCACATCTTTTAACGCTGAAGACTCTTATTTAATCATTGTCACTCTTTCTCTTCCCAGGTTCCTGTGTTGGGAAGGAAGAGACGATTTCACAGATTCCTGACAAGGTATTAAAAAAATGACAGAATCTCAGATAAGACCACCCACCAATCTCACTGACCTGTGAGCAGTCATGCACTCTCTGCATCACCCATCGAGGGAAACCCCTCTACAGATGTGGGCCCTTTTTCTGACATAAATTAGAAAGGGTGAATCAAATAACAGAAATGGCATTGGATCATGTGGGCTTTAACGCCACAGAGTACATATTAGATTCAGATGAGGCGGAACCTCTAGCTAATATCCAGAGGACTCTTTAGAGGAGGAAAAACAGCCTCGGATGACCTTAACAGAAGGACGAAGCTACAGCCCAGCTTTGATGATTTAGGATCCATCCCGCTGCCTTGCTGACAAGGTCGTACCATGGCTGCTGCTGATCCCCATAGCAACGGTTCCCTGGTGGGACGTGGAGCCGACTGAGAGAGTCAACAATGCAGCGTAACGGTGGAGGGGTTGGTGCCGGTGGCCAGCCATGGGTGTTGAGGCGTGTGCGTCTCACGTGGCTCAGTTTCATGCTCTTCTTCATTCTGGTCTTCTTCCCGCTCATTGCCCATTACTACCTCACTACCATAGATGAGGCAGGTGGTCCTGATAAGCGCATCTTTGGGCCGCGGCCGGGCGGCGAACTGTGCGAGGCCAAACACGTGCAGGATCTGTGCCGCATCCGTGAATCTGTCAGCGAGGAGCTGCTGCAGCTGGAGGCGAAGAGGCAGGAGCTCAACGGGGAGATCGCCCGACTCAACCTGCGAATCGAGGCTTGCAAGCGCAGCATCGACAGCGCCAAGCAGGATCTGCTGCAACTGAAGAACGTTATTAGCCAGACAGAGCATTCCTATAAAGAACTCATGGCCCAGAATCAACCTAAGCTGTCATTGCCAGTCAGGTTGCTGCCAGACAAGGAGGACCCAGGACTTCCACCGCCAAAGTCTGCACGTTTCTGCCGCCTACGCTCCTGCTTCGACTATGCACGATGCCCTCTTACGTCAGGGTTTCCTGTGTATGTCTACGACACAAGTTCCTACCAATGGGCGGACTATATTGACCCCTTGGTGAAGCAGGCTTTTGCAGCATCAGTTAAGAGCAACATTTATGTGACTGATAACCCCAGCATCGCCTGTCTGTATTTGGTGCTAGTGGGGGAGCTACAAGAGTTATCCTCTTCTCCGCTGCCACCTCCTTCAGAGCTAGAAAAACAACTAAAAGCTCTTCCTTACTGGAGATCTGATGGACACAATCATGTTCTCGTGCATCTTTCTAGAAAGTCCATGACGCAGAACTTCCTGTATAATGTGAGCACAGGACGGGCGGCAGTAGCTCAGTCCACCTTCATGGAGCAGCAGTACCGTGAGGGCTTTGACTTGGTGGTCTCCCCGCTGGTTCATGCCCTCTCAGAACCAAACTTTTTAGAAGTGCCACCTCAAGTTCCTGTAAAGAGGAAGTACCTATTCACCTTCCAAGGGGAGAGAGTGGAATCATTGAGGAGCAGCTTACAGGAGACACCCCCTCAATCTTTTGAGGAGGAAATGGAAGGAGACCCGCCAGCCGACTATGATGATCGCATAATCGGCACCTTAAAGGCAGTGCAGGACAGCCACTTGGATCAGGTGCTGGTGGAGTTCACCTGCAAGAACCCACGGTCAAGTCTGCCAACTGAGTGGGCTCTCTGTGGAGAGAGGGAGGACAGACTGGAGGTGCTAAAGGTTTCAACTTTTGCCCTGGTAATCTCTCCAGGAGATGGACAGGTGGTAGCATCAGCAGGCTGTGGGATGAGGCTGTTTGAGGCCCTAGAGGTGGGGACTATCCCAGTCGTGTTGGGGGACCACTCCAGACTACCTTATCACCAGTTTATTCGATGGACTGAAGCTGCTATTATAGTCCCCAAGCCTCGTGTCACTGAACTACACTTTCTGCTGCGCAGCCTATCAGATAATGACATGTTAGCGATGAGGCGGCAGGGCCGCTTTTTGTGGGAGACTTACTTCTCCACCTCTGAAAATGTTCTGAACACCCTCTTGGCAAGCATCAGAACCAGCATCCAGGTTCCTGCTGCACCCATAAAAGAAGAACCTGCGCAAGAGATTCCTCACAAGGCAGGGAAGCTGGCAGGGACTGATGCCAACCTGGCTGACAATGGTGATCTGGATTTGGGCCCCGTTGAGACAGAGCCCCCCTACGCCTCGCCACGCTTCCTCCGCAACTTTACATACACAGCTGCAGACACCTATAGAGCATGGAACCGGGCTCCTGGGCCTTTCCATTTGTTTCCTCACACTCCCCTGGACCCTGTGTTGCCATCTGAAGCCAAATTCCTCGGCTCTGGTACCGGTTTCAGGCCCATCGGTGGGGGTACGGGAGGCTCAGGGAAGGAGTTTCAGGCTGCTCTGGGAGGGAACGTGCCCCGAGAACAATTCACTGTGGTTATGTTGACATATGAGAGGGAGGAGGTGCTGATGAACTCTCTGGAGAGGTTGAATGGACTGCCATATCTCAACAAGGTGGTGGTGGTGTGGAATTCGCCCAAACCTCCTTCAGATGATCTACTGTGGCCAGACATTGGCCTTCCCATTGTGGTGAGTACACAGCAATAGTTTGTTTCTTCCGTACCTACGCATCTCCTTGTCATCATGCCTCTCTGAGGAAACCTGTAACTTTTCTGAAGTGCCAGAGATGCTGCCACGTTTATTTAAATACTTTACCAATGAGTTGTTTGGATCAGTGCCTTTGTAAGTCTCCAGGAGCCTGTAGAAATTACCAGCAGCTTTACTGAAAAAAAGATGCGAGGAAGTCTGACATGCATGAATAATAAAATTTGTGCTTTTGAATTGAGTCTGGAAAAAAAATCTAATATTCATGTGGCTTTTATTCACACTATTAGTTGGTGACAGAGACAGTACAAGTGGTAAGCTGTGCGGGGGGGACTGAATAATTTGTTTTTGTATTTGTCACTGCTGGAAAGTGCTGCCCGGACCTATCATGGATGAGTCTATGTGGGAAAGTGAATCGATTATGACAACCTAAAGCAGTAAGAAACCATGCAGGAAAGTACCTCATACTGCTGAACAGTCAGTGGCCAGGAAATGAATAAGACCATGGTCATGTATGTCAAATGTACAAAAGCATCACTGGAAAATGTCCTCAACCGTACTTAGTTTACAGGGTTTGCGTGTTTACATTTCAATATCTCAATACTCACAAAACTCTGGTCTTTCACCTGCAGGTTGTCCGAACAGAAAAGAACAGCTTAAACAACCGCTTCCTGCCCTGGGACACTGTGGAGACTGAGGCCATCCTCTCGATCGATGACGACGCTCATCTTCGTCATGATGAGATCATGTTTGGTTTCAGGTATGTGAAAGTTACTAAGCCATAAACACCATTTTGTCAGCAAATATTTGGGCTCTGATAAAGGGCACAAATGTCATTACTTTGGCATCATAAAGTCCCTATACAATGTTGTTCATCCACCGTGGAATCGATAATGTTTTACTGTTTTATAACATTGACTCAAATTGGATTTTATGCAAATTTAATTCACTCAGAAACAGAAAAATGTACTTTAATGTCTACTTTAGAATTTAGAAAAAGGAAGGCATCTCTCGACCCCCCTTTCCTGTGTCTCGTGGCCCCCCAGGGAGTCTCAACCCAAACTTTTGGAACCACTGGGCTAAACATTTTATAATTTAATGAAGAAAAATATCATTCGATGTTGAAACCCTAGACATAATTTAGTTTAATTATATATGTTTGGAAAAGGTGCTGTGATGAAACACCTTTTTGGAATAGAAATGAAATGTTCATCCCCCGTGAGAAGTGAAAATGTCCCCTGAGAAATTGCAGGAGTATCAGCCAGAAAAACTGAACCAGCCACTGGAGAAGGAACCAGACGAAATAAAAAGGGGAACTGTCTGTGCTTTGTATATATGATTCATTTGCTAATGCTGTACTTGGATAAGCTGAACTTGAAAGCCGTGTTTAAACCAATTAGATGATCAAGTAGTCTGTAATGTTATTTTTATGCACCATCCCCTCCCTTCGCCAGTCATGTCTGCGGCTTGGTGCTGTAGCAGCTTGTCCAGACAAGCAGAAAGTAGCTCGGAGTTTGAGTGTGAACGGGGTCATTTGTCATGAATTATCTCGAACTGCCCCAGAATTACCCAGGAATGTTTTCCTCACCCGACACTCTGCAAAGAGGAAGCATTACGCAGCTGCTGAAACTGTTACACCTGAGTACACTTAGGATCTTTTACATGTCTTCTGTGTCTCAAGAAGAAATTTAGAAGAGATTTAATGGAAACAGATTTTTTTTATCTAAGACTTTCTTGCAGTGACAGGGCTACAGTGTGTGTAAAAAAAAAATGAGCCAAGAGGGATGTTTTGGTTTACATATCTGAATAAAACTGTCACATTCAGCAGAAGAAGACAACAGAACGGTTACTTAATTGCTCCCAAGAGGCGAGTATTTGTGACATTGCTTGTGCAGACGACAAGTTAAAACAGATGGATGTAAAAAGCGTGGCATATGCACAGACAGACACTTGGAAGCCGACGATTGGATCACAAAAAAACATACCACAAAATAGTTATTACCGGTAATCCTGCCCAAGTGAGTCTTAATTAATTGATTTGAAATAAGTTTGGCTTACTTTGTGTTTGGCAGAGTGTGGCGCGAGGCCAGAGATCGCATCGTGGGATTTCCTGGGAGGTACCACGCGTGGGACGTCAACCACCAGTCCTGGCTCTACAACTCCAACTACTCGTGTGAGCTGTCCATGGTCCTGACAGGAGCTGCATTCTTCCATAAGGTCTGATGTTGTTCTCCTCATCAAAAAAAAACAAACACACACACAACATTCATACAGATCGATTGATTTCCTGTCTCCTGGCCTTATCACTCACATGTCTCTCTTGTTTGCTTTTTGTAGTACTACGCCTACCTGTACTCCTACGTGATGCCCCAGGCCATAAGAGACATGGTGGACGAGTACATAAACTGCGAGGACATCGCCATGAACTTCCTGGTCTCTCACATCACTCGCAAACCCCCCATCAAGGTCAGTTATAGAGCGTGTTCAGCCCAGCATCTGCATGCTCTGGAACCCCCCCCCCCCCCCCAGGCCTCTGTGTATTTATATTTCTGCCCACTTAGGCTCACCATTACTCAAAGTGACATGTCCAATATTCCACACAAATCTGAATCAACAACACAACACTGAATTGGTGTTCTATATCCTGTTTTTTTTTTTTTTCTTTTGGCCCCTGGATTTTTTTTATTGGAATCCCATTTATTACCAGAGTGCACATTTATGGCTAGACAAATAATTATAGCAATCAAGCCAGGGAAGCTGTAGGAACAGAAAAAGTCATTGCCGTCCTCAGTTTGAGTTCTTTTTGATTTAGCAGCGTGTTAATATTCAGGGTGTTTCAGTGGGGGAATTAAGGACGTCTTTCATTGAGCGTGTTTCATGACAGCAGTTCACTGCAAGGAATAAGCTTTGTGAATAATGAATTTAGGGCAAGATTGAATGTGGACTCCTTAATGGTAGAGAAACTTTCCCTGTGTTTCTCGAAGACAAATAAAACTGAAAATAAATTGCTCTCCACAAGTCTCTGGTGCTGATTTAACAACATTCAAATTCAGCTGTAGGGATGTTTTCCCTTTTCTTGATTAATCATTGGCTGAGATGTTATTAGCTCTAGCTGGCAGGATAATTAAGCTAAAATTAGTTTGTAGGGTTGGTTTAATAAGCCAACTCCATCTGAATTATAAATGTCTCAGGCTGACTAGATTTTAAAACAGGGATCTTGCACATGATGGCTGCACACAAAGTACAATGCTAAAGGCTAAACCTGAAAAAAGAGCGATTAGGGACGTCACAATAAAAAAAAGTGCATCATTCTTCTAATGCACTGCAGTGAAGATTAGTCCTGTGATTCTAAGTTAAATGTAAAATTAGACCCTTGTGTTATTGCTATAAAACTGCCTTTAGCTGCCTGGCTCTCACACTTGCTTTTATCTTCTAACAATAAGTTTTGTTTTAACACGGCAAGAGAAACCTCATTTAGGATAAAGCTAGCATGCAAGCTAAGTTCAGCAAATGTCCTACTTACTCAAGTGAATGAAATCAAAAGCAGCTAAAGTTAGCTTAAAACATGATATCGTCCAGGCTCTGTTTTATATGAGGAGATAGTGTATCTGTTAATGGACGTGTATGATCTGGCTTAATCCGAAATCCCACAAGTTAATGATTTCAGCACATTGACACATTATCATTTGTTTCCTTTTTTCCATTTGCTCTGGACTGAAATGAACATGCCGTCTCCAAACTCCAGTTTTATTGAAGTCCTATTTACAGCAATTTAACGTCTGTAGAAATCCAAAGCTGGACACGACTGCTGTGCCTTGTCACACATTTGATCGCTGTTCATTGCTTCACTGGCTTTCCAATTCCTACAACACACTTTTGTCATCCTACAGGCAGCGTCATTGTGCTGTCATGTACCACAAGCATAACTGACACAAAATACTCCACACAGCGAAGTCAGCACCACACAAACAAAACGACTCTCTCTTTATCTCTTATCTAAGGTAACCTCTCGCTGGACGTTCCGCTGCCCCGGTTGCCCTCAAGCCCTCTCGCACGACGACTCCCATTTCCACGAACGCCACAAGTGCATCAACTTCTTTGTCAAGGTGTACGGCTACATGCCGCTGCTGTACACACAGTTTCGGGTGGACTCTGTGCTTTTTAAGACTCGTTTGCCCCATGACAAGACCAAGTGCTTCAAGTTCATCTAGAATCCGACTGAGTGGCCCAGCAAAGAGACCAAAGCGGAGTGGAACTGAAGGACTGGAGTTATTTAAACAAAAAAAAAAAAAAAAAAAAAGAACAGCAGCTCCCAAAGTGCAGGGGTGATGAAGATGGATGGTTTGACTGTCAGGTTAAAAGCACAGGAGGAAAGTTTGAGGTTGGGATTTTTTGCCCGGGGGACGAAAAGACAAGTTAACCTTAAAAGCGGTTGGCTTGTGGTCTAATCTGCATCTGTCCTGAAAGTTTGAAGAGGGGAAGCTGAAAGGAACCACTGCCAACAAAATACGCCTTTTCAGTGGATGTCACTCGTCCTTTGTCATGTTCTTGAGTCATGCTCCTCATCAACCACTACAGATGTCATTTGCACCTCTTGACGTCCTGCTGAGGAAAGAGGGCGCTTGTACACAGTGTACAGAAACTCTAAATGAACCTTAAACTGACAATGGAGATGTTGGTTACTGAATCACTGTCAGACTGATCTCAGGCTGCGTTCACAGCCGCCTGAGGACTGTTTCAGTTTGGAAGAGCAAAAGTGGCTAAGACACTGGGCTGCTACTGTGCTTTTCTTTTTTTTCCTTCTTTTTTCCGTTACAAACTGTACTTCTTGTACATGAGAAGCACTGATGGTCAGAAGTATTTTATTGAACTTTTTTTTTTTTTTTAATACTGTTGTTTAAATATGTAAAAAAAAACAAAAATCTCCTATGTGGAACGGACATTTTTCAGAACCTCTGCCTGTAGGAGATCAGACGCAGACTCGATAGTCTGAGGAACAGAGAACCTCAAATCCAAACATGTTCAATGTTTAGTGTTAAAGATGGAATTCACTTCAGCGGTCACCATAATGCCTCGAATTTATCATGAAAACCAGCCACCGTTATGTCATTCAGCTTGTCGGATCCGTTTAAAAATGGCACTCTTTTATGTTATAGGGTGTTTACTTATGTTTGTAAAAATTGGTCTGAGGTTGAAGTAGTTATATTTAAATGTAATAATATTGAGAGATCAACAGTTACAATGTCCTTTAATCATTTGCAACAAAGTCGAGAAGAACAGCTGCCAAAATCAACAAATAATAATTCTGGATGTCTGATTCATTTCAAAGAAAATCAAGTGTGATGTACTCTTAGAATCATGGTTAAAAAAAATTATCTTTGAAGGGAAAAGTTTGACAATTTGGGAAGTACTTTTATTTGCTGTCTTACAAAGCATTAGATAAGAATTTAGTCCTTTTGTAAATCTGTCTGTGAAATATGAGGCCACTGCCAGAAGCTTAGCCTAGCTTAGCTTAGCATAAATACTGAAGATGGGGTGAAAGAGCGACTGTGGCTCTAACCAAAGCTAACAAAATCTGCTTAACAGCTAAATCAGAAGTTCACTCATCATCAACATGTTTGTGTTGATTAATTCCAAAAACGGTTAAACAACAAGCTGTTTGGTGAGTCACATTGCTAAGCTTAGCTAATAGCAGATATATATTACAGATACCAGAGTATAAACAATCTCAGAGCAAATAAGAATATTTTCCACTTTTCTGAACTATTGTCTTTAATATAAATTTTACAATTCAAGGGTTAAATGTATTCTGCCATGTTCATTTCACCCTCCTGTGTAGACCCCTTCAAAGCTAAGACAGAAACGTCACTTTGTGGTGTCGCCATATTGGTTTCGCTTTGTGTTTTGTTTTCTACCATTGCTTAATGAATGTTTTCTTTGCCAAATAGGTACGATGTCTGCTGCTTTACGCTATAATTTGCAGGGTGCAAAGTGTGAATGAATGCTAAATGGGTGCAGTCATGTACACCCATAATCCACTCTGCATGGTACTTTGTCAGGAGTAAAAACCCATTGGAGCCCCTAACCCATCATGTATTATACCCCCAGTGTCCTTTATTTGATCTTCTTCAGAACAAAACCCTGAAAATATCCCCTTATAAAATACATTAAGAAATTAGGTTCCAGACATGAGGATGTTTTCTATGAAACAAAAACTCCCACAAGTCAATGGTTCCTGTATATTTATTGAATATATTATTTTAAAAGTTTGTTTTAAACTGATTATGACACATTCAATAAAATGACAAGACATTGTAGTTTATTTTTCCTGTAATCGATGAAGTCCCACCTTGTATGAGCCATCAGCTAATTTCACAGCCTAAAACTAGCTTGTGCTATTGAATTCATGACGAGGGGGGAGCTGAACTGACCTGAGAGCAGCGAACCAGGTTCTTACCTGTAAGAGAATATCATAAATTAAGCTTCTGCAACAGTCATTTGACACACAGTTAAGTAGCTTTGAAAGCCAAATCTCTACTTGCTACATGTGGATGTTGCTGCTCTCTAGCCTCTCCAGTAGAAAACACAAATCTGTGATTGGGCATGATTGGCTTGAATTCCTAATTACACTATCGGGGAGATGCACTGCGGATAAACTAAACTAAATTTGCACTTCTGTTGCACCAGCCTTTAAAAACTGAATTTACCCCACTGTCACATCTGAACACTTTTATTGGACCTCCAAAAGCCTCATAATTACCTGGCTGGCTCTGACATTGTCCTCAGGGTGTAGATGGGGTCGGCTGTTGTTGTTTTGAAGCTATAACCTCCCATACCTCCAGTCCTGGGTTTCCTTCCCCCCCTTCAAGGATCCGTGGCACAGCTGGTTTTCCATGGCCCAGAGCAGGGTACATTTCCCTGGAAGGCTGCAGTCAGTCACTCCTGTTGGAGTTTTTCTTTTTCTTTTTTTTTTAAGTATGTGCTCCTCCTGGGTCTGATCCACAAACTGTGGGCAAGGCTCCAGCCACCTGCAGCTGATTCCTGCACTGTACCACTGATGACTGATGACAGTGTCAAACATACCATTGAAGGCTAGATAAATGGAAATAAAAACTCTCCACATTGTTTAAACATTGTCTTGACTTACGGCCTCGTTCTTTTTTCCGTCTTTCTGCAACACATTCACGCACATTCAAAAGAAAAAGGAAGGCACGTTCTTAAAAACTTTTTTCCCGTTTTATTTGCAACAGAAGAGCCATTGTTTTTTTGTTTTTTTAGTATAGTTATGACTTTGTTTTTTCTTATTAATATCCGTAATTTGAAACGGGGATAACTGGTCTGTGTGTCCAAAAGGAAACAGAACTGCACAATACTTCATGTAAAGCTCAATAATTGATACGCTGAGTCGTGTTTGATTGATTTATTGAAAACAGAAGTGTTAATACGACAATTTGACAATGTACCTTGGGTCGTTATGGAGCCGACTATTTCCTGTAAAATGACTGTTGCTAGGCTACAAGAAAGTGCTGCGGGAAATGACTTGAGTCCTGTCGAGAAATAATAACTAGCTGTACAAAGGCAGATAAGTTACCTTCAATGAGCATCTAGTGTACTAATGAGACCACAGCATTTTTAGCCTAGTCTTTATTCAGCTACATGGCTAATTTAAGTAGCTTTTTCGTTTAACACTTTTTTTTTCTACATGTTGCCTATAATGTTTCTTCAGTAGTTATAAATGCTGGTTATGCACAAATTGTGCTGACAAAAGAAAAAATGGCAAGCCAAACTCATGACTCAAAAAACTACTCTAGTGACTGTTCTGCAATCAAGAGCCAATAATCTATCAGACAGGAATGCATGACATCTGGTCTCATTCATCTTACAATGAATCAATTTTAACTTTGGAGAAATTCGGCCCTGAAGAAATGTAATGTAAGTGTCGATATGTTGTTGCAGCAGCCCTTACCATGATCTTTGTGTTCAGCTGTGACATCAGTAGTAGGACAAGGAGAAAGAAAGACTCCACACCCTTTAGCTTCAGCCAAAAAAGAGAGAAGGGTTTCATAGTTTGTACTAAAACATGGGTGTTGCTGCGTGGTCTGCAGTAGGCTTGTTGTGGGGGGATTTCTGACTCATACATTTCAGTTTTAATAAGGGTTAAAGATTGGCATTGTTCCAGATGAGTACAGCAGAAGTATAACCAGATTCCTCACCCTTCCAGACATGTTATTGCATTCATTTGAGCCTTTATTTAATAATACAGCTTCCATTCAACTGTAATGAGAAAATGCGATTTACCCTTTAGTCCTATAAATGTTTTTTTGCCACTCCGACTCACTCAACAGCGAAACACAGCCGAGGCTGAAACGTCCAGGTTTGTTGGACTGCGAAGGCTGTTGCATATTCCTCCTCAGCGGGAAGCACCGTGTTTCTACTTGAATGAACATGGCTGAGTTGTCAGAAGGCTGAATGGTGAGAGAGGCTCAATCTGTACTCTACAAGGAAAGGAAGCTGCTCTTTGATACCGGTGGCATGCAGAGCTGTATCCAGTTGTAGACAGGATTTCATTCCTCTCGTTTTATAGTGGCGTCAGATGCATAGTGTACTGAAATATGCAAGACAACAATAAAAAAAAAGAAAAGAAAAGCTGTAAAACATTCCACAGAGAGACACAGAAAAACTACTTGATCATTTAAAAAACAAAAGAAAAAGGGGACTCCAACGAATGGATCTTGCATAATGTCATGTGCATGTAAACAAACTGTACAAAGCATAGCTTGTAAGCATAGTTGCAGCATGTTATAGGCCCTTTGTAACAGTCTTCACATTGCCTCCTCCTCCTCCTCCGTCAATGGCTGTGACTGATAGAGAAATGTCTGGTATGCTGGTGGCAGCCGAAGTCCAGAGTAGCCCAGGAGAATCGGGGAGGAGTCCGCTGGTCCTGGACCGAGCTCTTTGGTCCAAGATTCAGAGACAGAAAAATGTTTGAGAGAGTCTAAAAATTGTCCTGTAAACAGTTGGGTGTAGCATGCAGGTTTTGCTTTAGGCAGATTTACTGGAAGACAATCATTTTTCCCGCTGTTCTCGGGTTGGTTCAGTGTTTCTAGTCCCGTTCCTTTTCAGTCCGTCGTTTGCATTCGACTGTCAATAAAAAGGCTGGAGCTGACGCCTCCTCCAATAAAATCCTCCTTTCTGCCTTGGAGAAAAAGTGGCAGATTAAAGGGTAGTCACACAGTCTCTGGCACCGAAGACTGGGAACCCACGCCTGTCCTCACACCTGTCTGCACTAAACTCACACACACACAAACACACACACATCACACATTTGAAAAGGTGCTTCTTGCTCCCTTAAAACTCTGCAGGGAATGTAAGTTCAGTCTTAGTCACTCTTCCTCCTATGTGTCCGTCAGCGTGTGCCAGTGGCAGACCTGCTGTCCCTCCGCCTCCCTCATCTCTGCCCAGTGGGCCTGCTGCTCCTCGCTGGTGCTGTTGAGGCCCAGGGAGACCCAGCCCACCCTCTCCCTGGGCCTCATGGTGCTCCGGCGGCAGAACACCGTCAGCACCAGCGACACCTCGGACAGCTGGAAGAGCGCCACCTGGAACACAAACGTCTCCTTGTAGGTGGGGTTGGGCTGTCCCCGGCAAACGGCCGTCTTGCACTTGGACATCTCTTTGCCCTTGGAGTCCAGCATGGTCAGCTTCACGTAGGTGTCTGAAAAGATGAGCGGTGAGAGAGCGACATCAAGTGGTGAGATAACGGTACTGCAACAAATACTTCACACTGCAGAAGAACTATTTGTACCGTGGATTTAAGATTAGATGCTTTGAAATAAACCAGACCTATGGGCTGAAGATACAAAACGTGTATTCTTGAAGGGGCAAAGACGTGTTTTAAAACATCCTCTTGTTTTTCTAAATAACCTTTATTGTAATCTTTACTTTCTCAGGCGGTTTTTGACTAATAGACCTTCAGAAAATGAACCAAATATAAAGCATTTTAGGCGTGGACCATGGAATTTTGGAAAGTAAACTTCACAGATCGCTGATATGGCTGCTGAAAGTCGGAGTTTTTTAGCTGCAATTAAAAGAAAAGTTATTTTAAAGACTGAAATGTGCTCAGATATGACTCTGTAGAGGTTCTCAGTAGACTATAAAAAAATTGCTGGGTTCAAGATGTTCCATACAACAAAAGACGCATTCTGATATATAAATATATGTGATATGCCCACAAAACATCACTCAAATAGTCTACCTTCAATACTTGTTTCCAGTTTCTGACAAGTATTTCACTTCTGACTTACCTCTCATGATATAAAGCTGTCCCCCTACAAAGTGTTTCACACAACAAAACAGACCATCTTTGGCACACAGCACGGCACACAAAGTTGGAAAGAAGAAAGAAAAGAGAGGAAACAGTCAAGTTTAACAGAATAACGATCGTGACACACACCAGAAGGGCAGCAGCTTTTTATTTTTTTTTGCTGGAACTCTGATGAGCAGCGGTTTACTCCGGCATTCTGGCTTTAATCACTGAGGTTATTATAAAAAGCTGCTTCTGATGCCAGGAAACATAAAAATGTAATGGTGTAAAATGCTGCTGGGAGTCTTGCCAATCTGCTTTGCCAAAAACAATCGCCGTGTGTATCAGCTTGCTTTGGGGAAGGGGCATTACAAGGTAAAAACTGACATTGTCACTGAGCACCTCGGCCCAAGCTGGCACAAAAGCACAACGATTAAAGATGGAAACTTTGTACTTACTGACGGGTTTATCTGACGCTGCAGATTTGAAGTGGCTTCCCTGGATGACCTCAGCTGATAACTGTCCCGTGGCAGAGTTGTAAATGAGACCCAGGAGGATCTCTGGCAGCGAGGAGTCTTCTGTGGAGCGATAGGACACAGCTCCTGCACTGCGAGACACGCTCACCATGGAGCCACAGCCCTGGCAAAAACAAGCAAACACATGAAGTCACAAAAAGAAACAAAAGGAGACGCAGGAGGACGTGTTGCAGTGTGTACAGATTCTGGAACTTTCAACATGAAATAAGAACTTCCAAGATAGTTTGAGCGTCATCTCAGGGTATCGAGCCATCAAACGACCTCGTCGACCACTTGTGCAGGATACAAGTGTTCTGTACAATATCAAACTATAACAGCTAAAAGTGGATATGGATTGCCACAAAATTGTGTACAGATATTCATGATTTGCTGATCCTGACTTTTCCTCTTTTTTACCTGGGCAGGTTGACATTCTTTCAAAAAAATGTCATGAAATTTGTCTGACATTCATGCTCACCTCAGGATGAATAGTAATCATTTGGTGGCCATTTTTGCCCTTAATAATAGGACAGCTGTAGAGAGACAGGTAGGGGATGACATGCAGCCAAGGGCCGAGGTTGGACTTGAACCCACAGCCTCTGCACATGGGGCACGTGACACAACCACCAAACCACTTTTATTTTTTAATTTAGATCCAGTGAAAACTAAAATACCATAAAACTTCTATTACTAGCCCAGGCTATTATTTACCTCATTTTATATTACTTTAATAAGACAGTATGCAGACCTGCTTCACGGCCTGTATGCATACGAGCAGTGATGTTGTAGTTCATCTTTATTTTTCTTGTGCCGTGCATCTCTTTCTCTCATTATTTTTGATCCACACACTATGTCAACACTTCAATCAGAGGGGCCTCTAATTGAGACCTGCCTTTATTTGTCCAGATGTGTAGCAACACCAGGCTAGTAAAAGGGACAGGGCCTTAAATTGGGATGGGCTTATATTTGAAGTTGGATTATTTTGGTATATGACAAAATGACTGTAAAACTCATGATGGCTTGTTAAACAGCCACAGCTATAATTTGTTTTATACTGTTGTGCAAATTGGAAAATGTTTTAAGGCTAATCAGTTATGTATTAAGACATCATGTAAGCATTGAAGTTAAGAGGTAACCTCGGGCTTTTGGAATTGTGATGGGTGTTTTTCACAGTTCTAGAGTTTTGTAAACTAACAGATTAAAGAACTTTCCTTTACTCAAAGTCTTAAAACTAATTTGCTGTTGAGGAAAACAGTTTCACAGTATTTCCTTTTGTCAAACTGATATCCAGTGCTTCATACAAATCTGAGCTCAGCAAAAAATAGAAATCCCAAAGTGTTCTCACCGTAAGTTCAGAGCCTGGCTCCAGGGTGACAGGAAGAGCGATCTTCCCCTGCAGGTTGAGCTTAGTCAGGTAGAACACCTTCTCCCCCAGGACCTTCTCTTTTTTCATCCTGCGGATGCTGTACAGGCGGAATCGAACAGCGTAGTCCCCCAGGGTCTCCTGTTCTACCCTGGAGAACTTGAATGTTTCAGTGAAAACAGGACAGGGGCCCTTCTGCACGCCCGTCTTGGCCCGCTGCTTCTTGGTGGGCAGCAGGACCAGGTGGACCTGCCACGCGATGTTTCCTGTCTGTTTGAGTTCGGGAATGTCTGTCGCAGCGGTGACCGTGACAGCCAACCACTGCTCGCCGGAGTCGTACTCGAAGGCGACGTCCAGCGTGCCGTACTTCCCGAGGGCCTCAGGCTCGTAGGCTGAGGGGAGCTGAGGACCAGAGCCATCCTGAACCACAGAAAAACAGAATCAGAAGGAGGATGAGTGTACTGTAAAAGAGGAGCGGATTTCATCAACTTCATCCTGCTTCTGAAAGTCTTCTGTCACTTAATCTTCTTATGTCCCAGCAGCCTTGGGTTCAATATGAGGTGAAAGATAAGTCATACTTAGGAAAATAAATAAAATAACCTGCAAGCCTACGTTTATACCAGCTATTTGGGACTGACTCTATTTTTAAAGCTGGCCAGGTTTTACAGATTGTGTAGGGGTTACAGGGTTTGTATTTGCACAAAAGTAGACAACAGAATGCTCTCTTCTAAAACAGCAGTGTTGTGTTTCCTTCTGCATGAACACTTTGTTCAACACTTGTTGGTACAAGGACAGGTTCAATAAAAGCACCATGAGAGAGAGAGAAGAGAAAAATGCAAATGAGCGTCTGAAAACCCCCGAAGCATAATGATAGCACAAACTATTCAGCTAAAGTGTTGTGCAGCAGATTTCAACCTGTATTTCAAAGCTCAATTTTTACTGCTGCTAGTAGGGAAACTCTCTCGCAGTAAGGGACAACTTCGGGAAGATTACAGGAGCAAGCTGTCCTGAAATGTTCAAGAAAATGTTCAGGAGTGTATGAGTGAGAGGGGCGGAAATTACTTAATGACAATACCGACAATTCTCATCAAAAGAAAGGAGATGTATGATTTTTCTCTTTAATAGAGGGATACCAACAAGTCAATCAACATATGAATTCACAGTTATCATGTTTATTGTGTTGTAAATTGTGGGTTACCTGTTGAAAAAATTGAGATTTCAAATTGGTTAAATTCTCTTCTTTTTTTTTTTACAGTGTAATATACTTCAAAGCAATGTTTCTCTGAGACATGCACAACCAGCCAGAAACCCCAGACCCTCCGCCCCCCCCCGTCTCCTGATACAGATGGTACAGATGAACTGTAACTGTACCTGACACTGTAATGGAGGCAACATGTCTACAGTAAACAAGACACTGTATCGATGTACTGCAGTGGTCTAACATAAACGTCTGATAAATAACTGATGCTCATGTCCTTTTATCGTCTTATTGCTTCTCATCATATTTCATAAAAACTGTTCTTTTTGCTTTATTTCACAAATATCCTGAATTTAAATTTAACGGTGCTTTTATCTCTTTATCAAAGCTTTTAACTTGTTTTGTATTTTGTTCCTTTTATGACTTTAACTTAATTTACTGGTTTTATTTTTTTTAGCGTTTTTATCTATTTTTATAGCTTGTATCTTGTTTTATCACTTTTACCTCTTTGTATTGTTTCTATATGTTTTAATTGCTTACATCACACATATTAGTGTTGGTAAAATAAACATGGTAAAGTGTCTTTTGTATAATATGTGACCTTTACAGCTGCTATAAATGTCATTATAACTATTTTCATACTGAGGTAACCTTACAGAACATACAGTATCTCTGCTCTCACCTCCGGTCCCAGCACAGCCGTGCTGTCACTGGGTATGTCCTCCTCACAGCCTTTGTTGAGGTAGCTCTCGGTGTCCTGGTCCACGCTGGCCTCACTGGAGCGGGGGCTGTCGCAGTGCTGCTGGGACGACCCCCTCCTGACTGCTCGCTCCGGACGAGGCCGAGAAGACACACGGGTTGCGGAGCTGACGTCCTGATACGGAGGAGGCTGGTGCTCGCTGAGGGAGGAGTCGTTCTTTATTCTCTTGACGCTGTTTGCTGCTGGAGTGAGAGACGAGGAGTAATGCCACATCAGAGGTGTGTCACTGGAGACATAATTCACTGTGCAGGGACTCATTATGTATGCAACATAACGTACATTTTCGGAGTGCTTCATTTAATGAGAAAAAAAACATGATGAAGTCTTGAATTTCCAAAGAAAAATAAATCTCTTATAAAATGATGAGAAATACCTGTGACATTGTCTGAGATGGAAGAGGTCAAATTAAAGGAAAAATACTTAAAATACAAATTTACGAGAAAGTAACTTGAACCGTTTTTTGTGATTATAAAGTTTTCAGTGAGTTTAAAGATATTTAATGAAGATTTGAAACAAAAAAAGGACATATTCTATGAGATTTAACCAGTTGATTTAAGACTAGATAATATTAAGACTTAGATAATTTCTTCAAATATAGAGCCTTCAACTTGCAATAGAAAGATTCAGAATGAACAAAGTTGTAGATTTACTACAAAGAAAATGTACATTTATTTCCATGATCACGTCTTAAACCTGCCAGATAAAATAATCTGAATATTGAGAATCTGCTTGTATCTTTGTAAACATTTATATCTCTGTCTCCCTATGAAATGAAATGATGTATAGCATGAGTGAAGCCCATGTGACACCCTCTCACCCCGCTCACTGGAGGCCTCACTGCTGTATCCTCCCTTCTCAGTGGACTGTTTGCGGTTGTTACTCCACACAGACGCTGTTGTGTTCTGCTGAGCCGTCGCCTCGGGCCCCTTGTCCTCCTCGCTGTCTGATAAAACTCCTTCTGAAAAAAAGAACACATGGAGACTCCAGTTCAAACATCACATTCATCACACAAAACACAATGTGTGCCGAAGTTTAAAGAACAGCGGAGATGCAGATGCTTCCACTCCGGAAAAGGTGAATTTCAGGCTAAGAAATGAGGCCTTGTTCAATAATTGAGGAGTTTGCAAACAAAGAGAGGAAGAAGAAGAAGAAGAAGAAGAACAGATCCAGGCGATGGCAGAGAAGCAGCACACTTTCTAACCTTTGTTCCCTTTCTTTTTCTTCTTCCCTTTCTTCCCTCTCGCCTTCTTTTTCTCCCCATCTGAGCTGTCCTGCGATTTCTTGGAGCCAGTCTTTGCTCCTTTACTCTTCTTCTTGTCTGACTTTTTCTTTTTTACAGTCGAGGACGCTTTGGATGCCTCCTCCTCCTCCTCATCGTCTCCTTCTCTCTCGAGGCTGCCCTCTTTCTCTTCATCTTCTTCTCCTCCTTCTTTTCCCTCTTCTTTTAGCTCTTTCTTTTGCGACTGAGGGGTTTCATCGCAGTCGTCGCCTCCTTCCTGAGCAGCGGACTTGTCGGGGTTGTCACTTTCGATTTCTTTTTGCACAGCGTCCTCTTGCTCGGCGTCTTGGCATTCCTCTTGGTTTTTCTGCGACTTGGCCTCCTTCTCCAGCTGCTTCTCCCTCCTCTCTCTCCTCCTCTGCTCTCTCTTCTCCTGCAGCTCCTTCTCCTCTTTCTTCTTCTTCTCTTCCTCCGCTAACTCGGCTTCTGTCCTTTTAACTCGCCAGCATCCGTCCCGCCATTCCCACTCCAGCTGGCTCTGCGTGCTCTCTGCCTCCGTGGTATCTCCGGCCTGGCTGCTCTTTGCGCCCGTGTTGCCAGTTTCCGAGTCTCTGGACATTTGCCACATGCTTTTACTGCTGGCCTTGCCTTCCTGTGCGGCCGACGTTTGCCCCACCTCCTGGCTGCCCGTGTTGTTCTCTCCATCCTCGTCCTCTTGCACCTTGTTGATGATGGTTGTGACCTGCTCCGTGAGCTGGTCACTGACGGCGTACGTGGCGTCGCTGACGGCGTTGGCCAGGTCATCCACGCGGCTGGTGACCGTGTCCAGGATGGAGGAAATGTTGACAGATGGGAGGTTCTGCTGGAAGCTCTTGAAGAAGGCCATATCTCAGCCGGGGATCCCGTCGCCACGCCGACAGCTAGATTAGCTCATCAGAGAGACACTGATATGGACATGTGTTTGTTAGCAGGGGGCGCGGTCACAGTGTGTGCACAGATCAACACAGACACACATACAAATATGGAGATTGTAATGATTATAACTCTCATTTATATGCAGCTATCATTTCAGCCAAAGGGTTTTTCACTTGCATCGATTTGTGCAACTGCGGCAGAGAATATTTGAGAGAGTAGATTATCCTCAAAACAAAATTTATACATTTACAGGAGAGATATAAAATGAGAGAACATTTCTCTGTGTTTCTCTCCTCATCATGTGAATATCAACAGACACTTCATTTCACAGCAGAGAGGACAGGTATGGAGGGGGAGAACTTTGGTTCTTTGTTCACAAAATAAAGCACATGTAATTAAACTTCCCTTAAGGCAGTGATGAGAATATTACGTTCACAAAAAAGGGGCAAGGTGATTTAATCAGCTCATCCTTGAGAATAAATGAAATTTGTGCCAAATACTAACAAAAAGTGTCTATTGGTGTTTTCACACATGACAAAAACAAAAAAATATTTCAGATTTCATGAAATCTTTTTGAACTGAGCTGCATGTGTGACTTTCTCCTTGCCAGCTCCCTGACAACATTTCTGAGTGAAGTCGAGGTGAGCTGATGTGTCAACGTCAGGACACAGTCAGGATAATTGGCCGCTCGAGAGCAGGGGCTGCTGATGACGTCTGTCTGTATCACTTGATCAATGCCCAGTCACTATGATTATTGTTCATGTGATGGAGCTGCTTCATGAAATATGTGAATAAACAACACAGTGAGAATCTAGCAGCAGGCTGTCCTAAAATGATCAAGTATTTTTCAGGAGTGCATGTGTGGAAAAAAGAGATATGTTGGGTATAAATTGCCTCTATTTATGGATCTTATATGTTAAATAAGATTGATTTGATCTTGATACACATCTGTGTGAAATTGTTTCATTTTATCCACTGAAGTAACTGCTCAAATGTTTTTTTTATTTGAAGGGTTGCAGCGACTTTGTTCTTTTGATCCTTGCACACCAAAATCTAATCAATTCAAGTGTTGAGCGTGGACCTGCTTTTCAACTTATTCCTGAGACATTGTGTCAAAAATGGGACCGGAATAATCACAATAAAATTATTTTGCAAGACATGATGGCCTTTGACCTTCTGGTTAAAAAATGTCAGCAAACACATCATCACTTTATCTAACTAGACAACATAGTTTTCATATTAAATGATGATATCTTAAGCTCTTTTTCTTTGACGATCACAGTGATCGAGCTCTTGATCTCTGACTACACAGTCTTGTGATTTCCTCCCTGAGTCCAAGTGAACATTTGAGTCGAATTTGATGCATTTCCACCAGTCATTCCTAAAACATCGCAGAGACAAGAATAGGTCTGGACAGACTGACAACCGCTCACAGGGAGACATTAAAATGTATTTATGTCCTCGGATAGCAGCGCTCCAAAAGCACAAAGATATCATACCATGGTTTTAGTTTATTACGATTCCAGCCTCCACTTCACTCTGTTTCACACCTTTTTATTCTTATAATGTTTGTCCCCCCCTGGGCCTGTACTGACTTATACGTTAGACCGTTTGTCCTCTTATTTCCGCTATCAATGCTTCCTCGCTCCTCCCTTTGGGGCCCAAATCGACTGAGTTCCACAATCATCCAAAATGTTCCAGGTTTCTACAGATGTATCCAGTGATGTATCTTTTTAATCATGAAAATTGTGTTGTTCTTAGATCTGATCTGGTTTCATAATCAGAGGGCTTCTGAGGCTAAAAACAACTATCGGGAAATAATAATCCTGCTGTGTGCGTGTGCGTGTGCGTGTGTGTGTGTGCGCGTGTGTGTAAATGCACATGCAGATGCAGTGGTAGATGTGTGTGTGTCGAGTACCTGGCTGGGTGTTTTTATAGCCACTGAGATGTGACAGATTGTCAGGACTATCCACTGACAGCTTGTTGCTGAGGTACAGAAAAAACAGAGCAATCAACGCCATGAAGGCTGCGACGGAAGACAGGACACCCAGCAGTTCAGGAGAGACTGAGGAGAAAAAAAAAAAGAGAGAATGAGAAACAGAGAGACAGGGGGGATGGGGGGGGAACCAAAATTAGACATAGACATATTACATAAGTAACACTGATTATGGAGGTATTTAACAGTTAAAAATTCCAGACCAAAATTCCCTTAGCGATAAACAGAAACACACACAGATGGCCGCAAGCTGAGAAACACTTTTAAGGCTGTGAACAACCTCACTTTGATACCACAAATAATTCCATTTGATGATAGGCATCTTTACTTGGTATTAAGCGGCTGAAATGTTGCCTTGTCTGTGGAGCTTTAGCTATTGTTCTCTTAAACACTTGAGTTTCCACTTCAAAGGAGAACCAGATAGGATCTACAGCCGTGTATGTAGGCCAACCATACTTCATGTTACCACACAGCCGTGTACTGCTGCTGCTGCTCCTGCTGCTGCTGCTGCTGCTGCTGTGCTATTTTTACGAGAGCCTCAAAGGGACTGTATCTGACTGAAACGTAGACTCGGAGAACTGGGCCTGCACTTAATAAGGTACAACACAGGCACACGGCAATAGCTGAAGTAGAAGGGGAAATCTGAGAAAATGAGGCATGGATGGCATTTCAAAAGACCAAAATGCCTCAGTGGAAAGGGCAGCTGTGGAAATGAAGCCCACAGAAGAAAAAAAAAAAAAAAAAAAAACATGGCAGTGTGGTATGAGGTGTCTGAACTGAATTTCATGTTTCAGGCTTTCAGCAACATAACGCAGCTTTTGATCCCCCCCATTACGCGGACATTTCCAACAGTGGATTCCATAGCATTTTATGTAAGGCACCGATCCTTAAGGCATTCCACACCCACACAGGTTTCAAACCCCCTCGAACTGATACTGTCCAGTAATAGCCTAGCAACCAAAAGTACACAGGGCTTCTTGTGTATACAAATAATAGAGCAGAAATCTCACTTAATGTCTTTCGACAGTCATGTAACTGGAAGTTCTATATTTTATCTCTTTTAAAGGTCGACTTGGTCTCCACCTATAATTTTTAGAGATACTATGCTATGGCTGTTTCTTAAAAATATTTGCTTGTTGTGTCTCGAAACAATAGTTGAAAAAAATAAGTGCGTGCTCAAGAACCAAAACAATGGGCTAAAAGATGCTAAAAAGGAGATCCAGGGGAAAACTTCTGAACTGGGTGATAATTCTTTCTGCGTTGGTATTTTTTACATTACTCAAACGCTCCTTTTATACATGTCGAATGAGAACAGTTCAAAGTGTGGATGATGCACCGTTATTCCACCTCGCTACTCTGTTTGATATGTACAACAACAAAAAAAAACACTGTGCAATAACAGAGCTGAAATGTCTTCTTTGTAAAACAGGGAAGCTGGCAGCATGAGACTTGGGTGTAACAAGGCAATTACATTTTATGTGCAGCCCAACGACAGAGGAAAAATAAAGCACCCAGTGGAAGACAAAGAAAAAAAATTGCTCACTTAGAGCAACCCAGAACGCCGCTGACTTTGCTTGCTATTGTTAACACACGTGTTCAAAGTCACACATTACACTTCTTTTGCTTCAAGAACATCGCCATTCTCTCAAATATGACACACTCCTGCATCATTTAACTGCCACTGTTTGGTTTATTGTATTTACGTGAAGCTGGTAGTTTATCAGAATTAGAATTAAGTGTGTGTGTACACATACAAGGAATTTGTCTAGGTGTTTTTGGTGCAAAAAACCCCACAAATGAATAAGATTAAACTGGAATAGAAAGTAGTTAGGGCTGCTCGATAAAGGCAAAACTCATCAATAATTAAGTTGATTGATATTGAGATCACGATTATTAAGAATGATTACTATTAATTACTGATTACGATTACTTTTACAACGTCTGGATCACATACATTTATCCAACTTAAACACTTAACACTTAACACAAGCAATAACTTAGTGGGGGGGGATAATATAAAATAACAAGTAAATTCAAACAAAATAACTGATTTTGAGGTAATGATGATGTGGCACAGATATAAAAACAAAGGCTTTGAAACGTTAACCACAGAAGAGAAAACCTTTGGACAAAATGATGGGCCCAGTAATCGTTTCATCTCCATTATCTTGTTTTCACGATTGTTGGAAGCCAAAATCATAATTGAAATAAAATCTGATTAATTGCCCACCCTAGAAAAAGTATTTAATAAAAGAAGAAAGTTAACAGCAGTAAGCTTAATGTCATGGTGACTTAAATAAGATAGAATGAACAGATTAAATGAAATGTATAAAGTGATAGTTTATCACTGCACTAATGCAGACTTTGAGTCAAAAAAAAGGAAAATATCGCTTAATGTTGTGCCACGAGCTTGTGTGTGCCACTAAAGCTACTTTCTTGGATTTTTGGAGTTTCAAAGTTAATCTTTTCTCTGATGTATCGCGATGCGGACGTGGACCATTCTGCATCGATGCAGTGTGAGAACATAATCGACTGTAAGACTCCTTTTAAATCTAATAAGGTCCACAGTTTGAAAGATAAATCACCGACATTGGATTGATAAGTGAATGAATTAGTTTACTGACAACTATTGTAGGATTTAAGCTTTTTTATTGTTTAACATTTTAAACCTTCCTTAAGCTTTGCCTCTCATGCTTATTTTTCTCTGATCTCTGTGCAATTCATAAATCAAATTGATAACTATGGGACAGACAAGTTCTTTGATTTGGGTTCAGGTGACTTTGTGCAAGACCTTCCTGATAATTATGACATTCTAAGGACAAACAGTTAAGAGCAAAGCGTCTTAATAGCAGCCATATTAAATTAAGCAAAGACAAAAAAAAAGAGTGGTGCATTTCAGGCCATTGTGTCTGGTGAAGCAGACACGGCCCAAATGTTGCAGCATGTGCCTTTGTAGCAGGTGCTCATCTCAGAAACAACCATCACCAGGCCCTGATTAAAATGGTCATTAGTGTGAAGACGGGTTTCTCCCTGCAGAGAAAAACAACAGGCATAGTTTCTCAAACCTCCTGACTGCAGACTCAACTTATGGACAGACTTGTTTCACCATGGCAACAGGCAGAGACCTCCACAGCCTGACAGCTAGTGCTGCTGCAGACTGCCAGAATGATAAATGCTAAACTCCGAGAAAGGAGAGAGAAGTACGAGGGAGATAAGCGGCAGTGTGGCAGTGGGAGGCTTACCTGCTCTACATGAACATCGTCTTTAAAACCAGCTGTTTAAAAAAAAAAAAAGAAGCTCTATGAGTACTTGTTCTGCCAGATGATCTAAGAAGAGGGGAAAAACAAAGTCGACCTGCTCTGAAGTAATCCGACATGTAATAAATCCCTTACAACTTAGTCCGTTCCAGCCCTTGCCAGGCTTACGTATCAACTCTCACTGCTGACATTTGTGTTGATTGAGCCGGGGGTGACCTCTGCAGCCGCCTGTGGTCCAAACGTACAGCTTATGGCCCTGTTTCCCCTGGGTTTGATGGCACTTCATTCACAGCCCCGCTCTGTAAATGTCAACAGCGGCTGAATAATTTAAGACACATGAGGTAACCTGACCCCCCTCTGTCAATGTACACTGCAAAAGTGGAGCTGCCCTGGACACAGCTAACCCTGCTGCTAACATTCTTTTTTTTTTTACATAATACCCATCACTCTCAAAACAAAGTCTGATATTCGTCTCAACAGCAGAGAAGATTAATGGATTTTTAATTCTCAGCTACCTCTCTTTCTCCTTATCTGACCTTTTTAAATTCCCCTCGTTCACCCAAAGCCTCCCTCTCTGAGGGACTGCAAGTACAATCTGTGACTGAACAAAATAAAGAAATGAAAAAAACAAACACTAAATATGTTTTTCTACAGCGTGTGAGCTAAAGCCGAACTCTGAAATGAGCCTCAGGATTCATTCTGCTTCTCTCTCTCCCCCCCCTTAAAGATAATGACTCCAGAGAGCTAACAAACACACAAAAACACAACCACTGAAGCATTCAGTGCGAAAACAGCAAATGAATAAATAACCTGCGAGAAACGTGAGCTCATTTGGCTTAAATGTTTTTTGTGAAAATAAGAGAAATTAATAATTCTGTCGTGTTTCAACATCATTGGGACACAGAAAGAAGAAATTAAGTCAAATTTTCACCTAATAGGACATTACTTGAATAATAATAATCAGATATCTAATTGTATTTTTATGTTTTGAGACAGAGCACACATAACTTGGCTTTAGTTTGAAGGGTATTCTTGTTTAAAAAGTAGACAATCTGGAAATGTTGCTTACACATGGACCTCTGATACGAAACAAAACCTCCACGCTGAATTAATCATGAACACACAGCTGCTTTCTTTTGCTGAAGTGAGCCAAAACTTGATATGCCATGCATAATTCACACTCAGACATTATGCTTTCTGAAGTTTATGCAGGGACACTTTTCTGTACACCAAAACTCCAGAGACAATTCACAAGAATGAAGGAGTCTGAGACCTTGGGGGAAAATATTGGGACACGGCAAACTTAAGCGCTTTAAAAGTGATGTTGTGGAAGTTAAGCCAAGCATGTCAGTCATTATGCTGTAGGCTGAAAACAAACAAAAACGCACAGCAAATGTTCTCTAATGCAGACTCACAAGTGCAAGAAGACGGTCTTACCTCGTCTGGCACAGATGAGCTCATGAACACCACAGTTCCTCCCCCCTCCTGAGAGAAAAAGAGATTACATGTTGGAGGGTAAGAGGTAAAAAAAAAAAAAAAAAAAGATATATTCCATGTGGAAACATATGTTCAGGCCTCAGGTTAGGGATGCTGGCTGCAGATGGTTATGCCAGAAGAGAAAACATAACGTGATGAGCTAAAACCAACTTAGACAACTCTCAATCAAATAAGTAACTCTGCGTTAGATAGAAGATTAACACCAATCATATTATTTTTAGTGCAACCTTGTAGTAAGGGGATTGTTCGCTTAGCCTATAGGCCTTACACACAAAGACTAAAGGCTAGTAGCTGCTAGCCAACAAGCTGTAAGCTTAAAAAACAGCTGACAAAAATCACTTTTATCCAACAAAACAGTTGTCAGCTGCCTGCTAGCCTTTAAGTAATACAATTAGGCAGCCTGGCTAAAAGAGAATAGCATGTTTATGTATGTTGTCCTTCAAGCCAGCTGCTTACAAAAACTGCTACTAGTCAACAAAACAGTTGTTAGCTTAGCAAAAAGCTGCTGGATAACAGAAAAGCTTTAGGGCGGCCAATAATAAAAATGTGTTTTGTATTGTTTTTTTTTTTACCATTGCACAATGTTAGCTGTTTCCTACTACTTCCTGTCTTTATTACCAATCTCCTGGTTAGATTTACAGACGATCATGGACCTATTGTCAATCTTATCCCCCATCTGTTTAAATGTTTCCCAAAATGTCAAAGTCTATTTCTATTAAATAATGTGTAGCCTGTATTGAGTGGTAAAGTTCTGTAAGTCGTACGCTGGAGGCCAGACTTCTTTTCACAATGGAAGATGTTTAGGTTAGGCGATGTATCTTCTCTAAAAGCGTAAAAACGGTTAGGCTACTTAAGCTTAAGAGCTAAGCCTCCTACTTCTATCTAAATTCTGATGAGGATTTACTGAAAATATCAAAGTGTCTCTATTGGTCTAAAAGCAGTCAGGTTTAATCTTGGACAGTCTGAGTGTGTGGGTTAGGTTTCTTAACTATCAGGTTGTCGAAACCCATTAAATTACCCGTTTACAACAACAGAGGTCATGATCTCAGCGTGTTCGAAATCAGCAATGTAATCACCCCTGATTATTTCTAATGAGGCCTATTTGACAGTGTACATCATCTGTTTTTGTTTGTACTACTTTCTCTCAATTAGAGGAACATTTTTTTTATATCAGGTTATTGTTGAAATTACCTGGACGTTATGACATTTGAGTTACTTTAATCCCTGTGAGGCTCGATTTAATGAGGGAGACTGGGAGACACACACTCACATACCTGCAGGCTTGTGCACATACATGAATTCACACATTATCTCTCATGGCACAACGCCTCAGTATTAAGGTAGAGAGGACACAGCAGGGCTCTCTCTACGATTTTAAATGGAAGGAATTAGGAATTTCAAATTGTTCGTCGGCCTTTGTTTTTTGTCTGTATGTGTCTTAATAAATGAGATTAAAAAGTGAACATATATCCATTGACTTGTGGTATCACTTCTCACTTCAGGGATTGGATTTTGTAATTTGGTCTGAGGAGACGACTTGATGCTGGAGAAAAGATGGATAATAAGCTCTGAGGGAGATTCTTCTTCTGTCCAAGGCTACATCAGACGGACCCTCCCCAGACCAATTCACTTAATGGTAGAGAACCTTTGCTAGTCCTGCAGAGACAAAAGGCTTGCCAATACTGAGCTTTCAGTAATACAATGCTTTCTCTGCTTTCCTTACCACTAAAGGCTCACATGCTTCAAAATCAAAACAAAAGCTCGTATAGCATGATTCACCCCAACTGAAAGGGAAAGTATCCCCAAAGGAATGTTCACCAATGAGAGAAAAGATTTAATATTTTATAAATCATAAAGTAAAGAAACAATAAGGACATAGGCATTGTTGTAGTTTCAAGTTTTCTGTTTTGTTTCAAACTATCATCACCAAAATGTAATGACGGTTTTAAGTTAAGTTTATATCGAAGTATTTTTTTTTTTTACACCTGAACCAATTTAGTGAGTTAAAAGTTTTAATGAAAAGTCAAAAAATGCCGCTATGCATTATGAGTGTAAAAAAAAACCACTTTTTAGAGGAATTCTTCCAAATGAATGCTCTGCCTCAAATGACAAGTTTTAATCCATCAACTCAAAATTGCTTCAACTACGAAATGTAATTTCAGTGTGCACATCACATTAAAGCGACCACATCAAGCTGAAGTTGAAGTTGCAAAATGAATCCCAAAGAATCCCAGGTGCACCAAGGTGAACATGAAAGAAACATTTCCACCATGTCTTAATGAAAGGAAGAAAAGCCTTCAAAATCCATTGATTATTTTTTGCAAATTGAAGGTCAAACAAGGAGTTGATGTAAAAAAAAAATGAAAATAAAAAAAACTTCCAGGAGATAAACTTGATTCCAAGACTTCCCTTCACTTATCATGTTACTTCAGCATCTCTTGCACGATGCACCACTGCACTGTTTCATGTTTAGTCATGTAAATATTAGTCTTTTCTTATTATGTTATATTGTATTGTAACTACTGTTGATATTTAATGTTGTACCTGTACATAAGAGAGCACAGCTCACCGAAATTAAATTCCTTGTGTGTGTTAGCATACCTGGCCAATAAATCTGATTCTGATTCTAAAGGGTCAAAATTCAAATTCAACAACTTGTATTAACTTAAGAGATTACAGCAAGAAATTCGGAGATTCGTTCATGAATGAATGTTGTCCTATATGTCTTATTATTTGTTGTGTTTTTTTACACACACAGCTGTAAATCAAATTCCCCCTCCCTTAAAGGTCTGAACTGAACTGAACTCAGGTCCATGTCCTATTCCACTGGTCCTTATTATGACAGGACAATGCTGATAAATCGTACAGCACCTCTCTCGTCTTCACAGAGTATCAATAGACACCTCTGCACGCATGGCTGCACGTGACACGAGAAGAACTGTGACGGGACAACGGAGCAAAAGGCACGCGCCTCCTTATGTCTTTATCCGGTAATGAGTTCCCGGCCACTGATCCTACGTTATGTAGCCCAGGCTTTGAAACAGGCTGAACACATTACCCATGAACATTAGAGGCAGTGTTATCACAACGTGCATCTATAAAAAAAAAAAAAATTAACGGGCAGCAGAGTCACATTTCAGCGTTTTAATATTCGTTAATATGACGCAATATTCATCCGCTCAGTAATGTAGACCTCTAACTGTGTCACAACAAAGTCATGTGATGCTTTGTAGCAGCTACTGTATAGCCTTATTGTCGGTCCCTGCCAGAAAATAAACACTCAAACTCATCGCTTCGCAGTCACAACGCTCGTCTTTGCACAGATATCGGAAACGGCATCTAAAGGTGAGACAAAGCGGAAACATCTCGAGCCAATTAAAGAATCACTTCACGCGTGCATTCCCATGAAGGGATCGCAACATTCCTGCATCGGTGCGGGTGTCAGCTGTTATCTGTCCCAGCTAAGGAGCACTGCGGTACTCCTGATATAAGTAGCCTCAATAAACTGTTTTCTTTTTTTTCTTTTTTTCTTTTTTTTTTTAAATCGCAGAGACACATTCTCGGAAAGAATAAAATATGATTTTTTTTAAGAGCGTTCACGTTTTGTCCCGAGCAAAGTTTCTCACGAGTCCGACAGTACACCTGAGACCGAGCACTTACCGTCAATCGCCATGATGCTCCGTCCCGGACTCTACCAACTGTGTGTGTGTGTGTGTGTGTGGGGGGGGGGGGCGGGGGACTGGGGGGGGGGGTGTGTGTGATGGTGGAGGGAGGGAGGTCATTCATGCGCCTGTGGATGGTGTGCGTGTGTGTGTGTGTGTGTGTGTCAGAGAGAGAGAGAGAGATTGTGCAAGAGTGTCAATTTCAATTACACTACAAGGAAACCATTTAGGATAAGATTGAATGTTTAAAGCGATATTAAAAATGTAGTCTTGAAAAGGCTAAATTCAGAAAGAAAAATAAGATCAGATAGCCTCGAGAAAATAAATTATGAGCCTATAAGAGGCTATGATATTAGGCCAATTCAAAGTTTCACTCAAATGAGAAACGAAGTATAGGCTATAAAATGAAATTATACAAGGATCCTTTTAAAATAAGTTTAAAGGCAATGTAACAACAGCCATTATTAAAGAGGTTTTAAATGACTGCCTGATAAAGTGATGTGTTTGACATAATGTTAGTATCTAAAAATGACCCAGACGCTAATATCATGAATCATATATTTTTGTAGCGTGGTGCATGTTTTTAAGACATAGACCTACCACAATGACAAAAACACAAAACAATCTGGCCTGTCCAGAATAGGATTTACATGCAATAGGCTATTATGGAAACATCAAAATCATGACAAGAAATATTTCACAGATAGAAAACAGTGGGGGGGGGGGGGGGGGGGGGCTACATTTTGTATTATTCCTCACCTTGCAAGATTTCATCCAAGTAACCCATAACATGTTGATGTCCATGCCAGCTCAAAAAATAAACATGATGTTAATCAAGCAGCATTACAACCATATGTGATTGTTTGGCGTCTTCTTTTCAAACAACTGGCGTCAACTCACTGCCCTTTCATCCTTCCGTTTTTCTGGGAAGGCTTGTAACAAGATTTGAAACCTGGCCGCAGGGATTTGCAATTAGCCACAAGGACAGTAGTGAGGTCAGCTGGGTGGCAGGGATTGCTTCACAGTTGGGGTTCTGGTTGCACTCAAAATCAGATTACTTGCTATGGGTTCATTAACGTGTGGAGTCAAAATAAATGTGTTTGTAACTGGCCATGTTAGACTTAATGTTGACATAATGTGGTCCTCATCATCTTGTTGGATTAGCCAATGCTAAGTTATCAGCTAACGCTAACACCAGCTCAGTAGAAGAAGTGCTGCAATATGCAAGGCTGCCCATAAGGGGGGAAAAGGGTACAGGCCTTTCCGGGGCCTAGGCTATTGGGGGGCCCGTAAGGATTAGGTAAAACATGGTCCATCCAAAAATATAAGGAACCATAACCAATGTTTTTTTTTTAACCTAAGTGCTCACCACTTCTTATGAACACAACAAAGAAACACATTTTATTCATTGTTGCCTGTTTCAAAATGTAAATCTCCTCTTTTTAAAATGGTATGAACCCATTTTTGTAACTTATATTTAGCTTATATGCCAGGACCTGCATTAAAGTCAGGATGCCAAAGAGAAAGGAGACTAAATGGTATTAAACCCCAACAGTAACCCGTTAGCAAACTTTTTCCCTGTCAGCTCCAAAAGCAGATCAGAGCCATAGAGGAGGCATATCCAACATGCAGTTTATGATATTAAATAACATCTGTGCAGGGCCCATTCACTTATATATAGCCATTTTTGTGGGCGGCTTGGCCATATGCATTTTAACTGTGATAACACTAGGAATGAATTGTAGCATATATAAAAGTTTCAGCAGAATTCAACAGTATTTAATACATGCAAGGCTGAATCAAAAACATTTTCAAGTCTCAACTTAAAACTTTACTATCTAAAGGTGGCTCTGCCCTAAAGCATACCCTGCTTTATAGCCTATAAGCGGGTCTTTGATTTAAAGGGGGAAATTAAAATAATGTAAAACTAAGTAGAATTGAAAGAATAACCATGAAGTCATTGCCAAAAAAAAAATAAGTTTTAGAATATTTGCTCACAAAAATTATCGAAAGTGGAGTTGCCCTCTGCTGGCAATTCAAAGGATTGCAGGTTTAAGATATCGTAACAGCATGAGTGGTCATAGTTGAGAAAGTGTGATGCTCTAACAGTGCAAAAAAAAAGGAAGAGAAAGAATTTCATAAACACAGACTTAATTCTCTAGATGACAAAAAAACCTTCCTCCTCTCCTTTCTGTTATTGCCTAAAGCACTCATACAGACTGTGATATATTATTCTTGTCAGTTTTTTTTATTCTTAATGCATTATTTAAGTTTTTCCTTTTACTGCCCTAATGCTGTCCTAATATCTGTTCACACAAGACGAGATAAAGCCATTAGCAAAAATAGTGCCATAAAAAGAACAGTTTGAGACAAAACTTAATGCATACTTAAAACAGGCATGGTTCATTTCTAATCATACCGACTAATGAATTTAATCTCAATTAAGCCGAGAAGAACATTCTCCAAGGGTAAAATAAATTAAAGTAAATCTCAGCATTATAATTAGCTGATGTTATAGTCATATTAATCCAAAATCATCAGTTATGATATACTGACAGGGACCATTTAAACTGCTGCATTTAAGGTATTTTACATCAAACTTGGGAAACAAGTTAAAAGGCCTTTAATGCTGAAACAGTAACTGGCCTTCGACTTTTTTTAATGTAGCCTACCTCTATTCCACTTCAAAGCCCTTTGAATTTAATTGTGTTGATATAAACGTTGCACTGCTTCGCTTTGACTTGCTTTTGTGAAACCTCACTAACGATGTGCAGCGCTCGAACGATTCAGTTCTATTGTACAACTCATTTAACCAAAGGCGCTATGTTTTTTGTTTTTTTTTCTAAAATTAGTTACTTGTTTTTAAAATGAATATGAGACTGAGTAGTAGGATATATTATATGTTATAAAGAATCCTAAAAAGTGTCACTTTTGGTAATTTGATCATGAGTGAAGCATAGTGAGACTGTGATATATTGCACCAGTTTCCAACATATAAAACAAAGTTCAACATCATTTTATTGTGTAATGTATAAACTATATAAAATTGTTTGATTATTTTACTCTTTTTTTAGGGTTCATAATTTATCAAAAGGAAAATGTCAAATTTGAAAAGTAGTTCAAATTAAAGGAATTTGGTCTCATTGTGTTGAATATTTATAAGTGTGTAAGCGTTCAATCAGTTCAGTGTTGGAGTTGGCTGATTTACAAAAGCCAGAAGTAGAACTAATGGAGAACTGGTTGGAAGCTGAAAGATCTGACTCTTTTTTTCTGAGATGAGCCAAAATGCACCGGCTCATCGAAAAGTCCTGAAGTTCCCATCGCAGACAAATTCAAGGGGTGTAACAGAGCTGCTTACGTCACTGCTGGGGGGACCTGCCCACCCAGGTTTTCTTGAGGTAGCCTACGCTTCCGTAAAGTTTCTGAGCAGCTTCTTCCTCACCTCTCTCCTCACTCTACCAACTTTTTTTCTTTTCCTTTGACTGAGTAAGTTTATTTTTTTCTATAAAAATGAGTGAAATCAAACCAAGCGAGGCAGCTTTGACTGACGACAGCGCGGAGGAAACGGACTGGGCTGCAGCCAAAGCTTTTTTTGACAACCTCAAAACTAACAAACCGAGACCTGTAAGTTTAGTTCAGATGTATTTTCATCTAGAGCTTCTGTCTACGTTGCTTTCATTTTTTTAATGCAACAATGTGTCGCATGTTAAGTGCTTAACAAGTTTACCACTTCCCTATCCACTCGCAGCCCAAACCCCGGTATGCTGTCACCATCGCCGTCTCCTCTCGTACCCTCTTCAACATGGTGGCAGAGAGGAAGATCTATGAGGACGAAGGACTGGAGAAGTATGTGGCTTATCAGCAGGAGCATGAAAGCGAGCCTCTAAAGCCAGGGGCAGCTTTCCCCTTCGTCAAGGTGAGATGCAGGCCTCCTCCAGTCAACCTGTTGTTGCAGGTCTCTATACTCTCTGTTATTTGCAGGGCGTGGTACCTGAAGTGCATTTCGTCATCACGCTGCTGAAGCAGGTCAAACCAGGAACAGCTTGCTTTACAAAACCAGACAATGATCTCTCTTAAAAGACTGTATTACTTCCTGTGTTTCAACCCTGCATCCAGAGCCGATGTTTTTCTGCTCTGTTATCCTCGTGATTAAAGCACTAAAATGGTCTTGGGCTAAAATACCTCTATCGGATATTGTGGTCCCTTTATGAGGCATCGAGATCCCTCAGGTGCTCTGGGACACTTTTAGTCACTGTTCCCAGATCCAGAACCAAGCAGGGTGAGGCAGCTTTCGATTCCCCTCACCTGTGGAACAAACTACCAGAGAACCCGAGGCTTTCTCAATCTGAAAAAGCTCTTTATAAACAGGACTTATAGTTTACTGCTGCTTTCCCATAAGTCCACCCACTTCTTACGACACAGGTGAGACCAGCAGGTGAATCTGTGTCCGGCTGGACAGTGAGACGCTTTGCTCAGCGTCTTCAGAGCACCGGGTTCTTAATGTACGCAGAGCTCATTACTTAAAGTAATCGTTCACGACTATTGACCGACTCAACACTATTGTCGATAACAAATTGAAGTGTAACAACTGTGGGTGGATTTCACCACCACAGCTTCCCCTGGGAGGGGATTCTGGGTCACCAGGGCAGTCTGAGCAAACTGTCAGCCCTAAATCTAGAAGAATTAGGCAAGACCAGCAGGTGAATATGTGTCATGTCGGGAAGATAAGACTGCTGTCGGGGCCTTTGGAGCAAAACGGCATTGAAAGGCGTGCAGAGAAGATAACTTCAGAATTACAACTTTTAGGCTTTTCTGGCATAGTAAGAACTAGAGCAACTATTTAAAGCATGACTTATTTTGAACTGACAATGTATTCATCGCTTTAAAGACACATTTGCATGTTCAAGCCATGTCGCACAGCTGCGATATGATTGAAGTGGCGCTTTGTCTGAAGGATGAGTCAAGCCAACCGTCCCATGTTGCTGAATGTTGCATAGACTCATTTCAAATTCAGACAACTTCTTATCCACCTAAGGCCTTAAATGCC